ATTAAATCAGTTATTAGGGGAAAAACATTTAGAGCTCTGCCTAGAGTATAATAACTTAATAAATTGTCAAATGTTGTGTATCTCAAATGTTGCTAAGCAATTGTTTGCATAGTAATAGCAAACATACAAACAAATTCTTTTTCCCTTTTCATTTAGCTTAGTTCCTTAAGAACATCACTAAGTAATTCCTGATTAACCTCTTTTATTATATGAAAGTGGTTTTGTTTATTATAAGAAAGTGGCCTTTCTTAATATCATTCTATAATTCACGTGCTTCCAGTTAACCTCATCTTTACTATGTTAATGAAGTTATTCATAGCTTGACATGAAGATATCATGAAATTAATAATTTTAGACACAGCTAAATTAGACTACAATGTTGGAAACACCACATAATCTGAGTTCCTCACAGGTTTTGATATAAAGTAAAAACGCTTCTGTTTGTGGTGGATCCAGATCTACCTAAAAATTGCTCTTTTTGAACTTGTTACTTTTGAGCCTTAGAAATGAAATTCAGAGAGTTCTCCACATAAACTTCCTCCTCCCAATCCTCTTTATAGTATTGGGATATCCTGAAATATCCCAGTATTATTCTCAGTTCTTCCTTTTATTTACTTGCTAACATGCTTTCAGAAAGATGATGGCCTTTTTCCTTTTTTAAGCACCCAAAGTAAGTATTCACATATTTTCTCCTTATTTAGTACAGATAGCTCAAAGGTTAAAAATTGGAATCCTAGCCACATGGAATTTAATTCCTATGTACTTGTAATACAGTCTTCAAAAAAATATATAAGGATCTTAAATCCAGCACAGTGGGTGATGAACTACACATATAAACCAGAATCTTGGAAGTTATGTGAGCAAAGAAAGCATTGCATCAAGATTGCTGTCCCAGTAAAATTATTCACCCATATGAAATGAGACCGGCTCCATAGCCATCCATTAGAAAGCCTCATCTGAGCCACATCTTTTAAATACATTGCCCAGGAACCCACTATGATAGTGGGTTTTGACCCAAGGGATTATTTTTTAAAGTTCTTTTAGACTGGCTACATTTTGATCGGCTGAGAATGTTAATGAGTTTGAGTCGCCTGCCCCCCTCTTTGGTTTCTCATGCCCTTTATATCACTCTGTGCCCATGTGTACCCATGTGTGGCTCCCACTTACATGTGGCTTTTTTTCTTTCTCCATATCTGTAGGTTTGTGGGTAGCTCAGGTTTTAAGAACCGTAATTTTAAAGTACTAGCAGTTAGGATTTAATGACTTCATTGGAAGTTCTTGTTTTATTATTCTTTGAGGATATTTTATATGTTGAAACAACTGTATCCTTTTAAAAGGGTGAGAATAATCAAGTAATATAGAAAATGCAGATAATGTAGTTATATTTACTGTATATCATTTGTTTTCTCAGTTTTAGTGCTTTTCTTTGACATTGGAAAATGGTGAAGGTAGTAAGTGCTAATTGGGTATCTCTCCTGCTGTGCCATTTTTTCCTTGCATTTTGCTGAAATGTCTGATGCTTTGATCAGAATTGCTGTGTAGGCACAATACAGTCGGTCCATTTGAACCAATATTGTAGCTCTTAGTCTTGCCTTTCCCAGTGACTTCTCAAAATGAAAAATAGATCAGGGTGTTATGTATTCTTGTAGGTAGTGGATACAAGAGAACAATTTAAAGTTATGATATAATAAGTATATAATAAAATAGAATATGTCGTCCTTAGTTCTTAATCATCAAGAATACTACTTCAAAGTTTTGTGGATTGACCTAAGATTGTGGATTTAGGTTTGAGATACAAAAGAAAAATACTATTAGGAAGAACTTTTCATCAAGTCAGTGAATGATAAGCTTCCACAAAAATTTTGTTATTTTGTCATCTGGGTTGACATTAGGGGCTCTTGTTGCTGTGAGTGACTCCATTCTCATAAAGTCTCTTGAGCAGTGCCACAGAGCACAGAGTGAGTTTTAAATGTGAGGCTGCCCCAGTCTTTAAAACCTGACCCCAGAGTTGTGCTTTTCACAGTCCCTGCTAGCCTGCCTCTGAACCAGTCAATGCATACTGTCCCTTATGGACACTTTGCCTTAGGAACCAGGGCTCTGGTTAACAACCAGTGCGCTTTCTGGGGCTTGGCAATTTCCATATTCACTGTTCTTGCACTAGGCCCGTTCTTTTTTTTTTTTTTTCCTTGGAGGTTTTCCCTCTCCACTAGATGTCACCGCATTGCCAAAGCTGTTCTGTTACCAGGGGCTCAGAGTTCTATGTAAGCTTTCTTCAGTACAGGAGAGGACAGTCTCTGGAGAATTGTACCTGGTCTAGGAAGGATAATAACTATTATTTTTTGAGTGCTAAGTCATACAGCTAGTAAGTAGCTGAGCTGGGGTTCAAAGCCAGGCAGTCCGCCTCCAGACACATTGAGGGTAGAGTAGCCAAGGCCTCTTAGCAGCTCTGACAGTAAGAAAATAGCTTCCCCATGGCACATTCCTAAGAGAAGCCCCTTTCAGGAGAGTCAGCCCGTCATCTCTCTCCTGCCTGCTTTCTCCACCTGTGAAAGCAGGCAGCATTGTGTTTAGCTTTCACTTTCATTCACAGGGGAACAGACTTGGCCCTCAGTGAATCTTAAAAGCTACTAGTTCACGGTTCACACCCTATTCATGCCTCTCACTCTGCTTATACCTGGTTCTTTTTAAACACTCCCTTTGGTTTAACACCAGGGCACCCACCTGTGCCCCTTACAAATGGTTGATTGTACAAGATCTTCCATAAATAACCTGACACCCAGACAAATGACTGGAAAGTTGACCTTATGTTCTCTTTATGGGAGACATAGGCACCTTCACACTCAATAGTCTTTCATGACCCAGAATTTGCACTCCTGACCATTTATCCGGGGGAATGAAGACTTATATTCACATAAAAACCTGTACAAATATATTTGTAGAAGCTTTCACATAATAGCCAAAGCTGAAAACAACCAGATGTCCTTCAGCAGGTGAAGGTTAAAGAAAGTCTGGTATATCCATACTATGGAATAGTACTCAGCAATAAAAAGGAAACAAACTGTTGATACAACCTACGTGAATCTCCAGACATTTCCAAAAGGTTCCAAGTATGGTACTATATGGTTCTATTTTTAGCGGCATTATTGAGATAACAGAATTATAGAAACTGAAGGCAAGAGGAGTACTTTCCAGGAGTTGGAGTGTGAAGGAAGGAAGTATAAATCTCATGGATTTAAGGGAACATTAGAATTATTGGGGGTCTAACTATATGATCTGTAATCCTATCTCCAGTTGAAAAGCAAAATTTTATTATTTTCATCATGTGAACTCTACTAGCTTCAGAGGACCTCAGTTGTACCATTTGAAATTGAAAATTGAGGCTTGCGCCTGTAATCCTAGCACTCTGAGGCAGGTGGATTGCCTGAGTTCACAAGTTCGAGACCAGCCTGAGCAAAAGTAAGACCCCCCCCCCATCTGTACTAAAAATAGAAAAACTGAGACAAGAGGGTCACTTGAACCCAAGAGTTGGAGGTTGCTGTGAGCTGTGACACCACAGCACTCTACTGAGGGTGACAATGTGAGACTCTGTCTCAAAAAAATAATAAATAATAGAATCACTTATTTCTGTATAGCAGTTTCCCTCTGGCTCTCTAAAACTTTGTCCTCTTTGAGTCTGTCTCAAAAAGAAAAAAAAAAAAAAAAGAAGGTTGAGACCAAATCTTATGTTGAAGGGAGGCTTTAGTCATGAAGACTGCTTCGGTGGTAAGGACAAGAGAGGACAGTACACGGCTTCGGGTGAATTCAGGATGTTTGTTTAAGGAAATCCAATTAAGTGGCTAAGTGATATGAAGTGTGTCTGAATTGATAATTATGGGCTCAAAGAAAACTAGGAAACAATTGAATAGGGCAGTTTGTGCATTATCACGTCTTCATCGTATTTGCTGATCCTTCTGTGGGACTGATCCTCACGTGCATTTTGTGAGTCACTGTCATCAGGCACTGATAGCCCTTGTGATAGAACCTGACTTATGTGTTGTAAATGGAGCTTCGTAAAATACCATTAATTATTTCTCTACATAAATTTATTTAAAGGGGTTTGGTAACAGTGGGCGCGAATGACAAGTTAAAAGTTAACCTGAGTTTCAACCTGACCATGAATTTAGGATTTGGGTTTTATGTCTTACCATTTAGCATGGTATCTGGCCCATTTCAGGCACACAGTAAATGTTTAGTGAATTAATGTTGCTTTTTTTGTGGTCCCTCCAGAGAAGAGTTGAGTGGGGACACAGGGGAATCCCAGAGTCTTAACGCACAGAGGTGCACTTGAGTGGGCCCTGACAAGGGCAGGAGTGTGAGTTCGGGGCGGCATCACAGTGCCCACGGGGGCGGGCAGGGGCTGGCTGTGTGGAGACTCCTGCAGATAGATTTCAGCCAGATTTTCCTTCACACTGAAAAGAAGGGGAAAGGACAATCTCAGGAACAGATTTAAAGAGATTTAAGTATCAGCATTCGAGATAGATTAGAAATATTTTTTCTTAAAAGTATCCTGGTTTGGTGTAAATATAATATTGGTTGTTTTTACTCTTTCCCCCCTATTACAAACAGTGGTTTATTTCTCAAAATAGTTTTGTGGACTAATCTGGGAGGTAGCCTCCATTTATAACATGAAAAATGTACATTCTGAATTCAGATAGTGACTGGAGAATGAACTCTCAGAGCCCACTTTGTTCTCTTGGTGGCACATAATTTCGTGCTTTTTCATTTATCTGTCTTTACATGCTTTTTGTTGGGAGCAACAGAGCAGCTCCTTATTAAGCCCCTTTTTTTTCTTCCTTTCTGCTACCTTACTACCTGTCAGGTACTTGATTAGTCTCAGAAGTTGATGCCTCCCCCACAGATTTTCTGGTTACTGTCTGCAGGCCCTGCTAGCCTGTAGCTAACAGAACAGCAAGTTCTTTTTCATGCCACACCTTTATTACTGAAATTTCTATTTACCGTAGATCCTTGCTGGCACATTATAGCATTATTTTTGTTGAACCTTCTTAAGAATTCAGAGAAACCGCTGAGTGACCACTGAAAAGACGATCTCACCTTCAGGCTTGGGTGAGTATTTTCCACTGTGAACTTCTTTACAATATGTAAAACCTTCAGAGGACTGTGGCCTTGCTTTAGGGCCGATTCAGTTCTGAGATGAAGATGAAAAATGCTTGTCATTGGACTTAGTAAATGGGAGTAAGATTAGCTGTTTCTCAAGGACCCAGAGAAACTGACAAAATACACTACACTTATTCTTACCTAAAAAATGGACAAGAACGGCGTGTCTATTTTACTGAGCCAACATTCAGAAGAATCTCAGTCTGCAAACCACAAGAATTTTGTGTTTAAATCAAAAACACCAAGTAGATTTTTTTTATTATCTATTTGTACAGAATTTAATCAAAACATATTATCTCTTGAAAAGCCCTTGATAATATGGTATCATTTTTAAAAAGGTTTGTGATAGCTTTGTCTTCTTCGTGAGCCAATCCCATAAATAGTGTAAGGGAAAAATAGATTACCTCAAAAAGAATTCTTGACTATTTTATTGAGTAATTTCTTCTCATTAAGTTAATTTTTAAAAATTATTATATAATATCATAAAATGAAGTTTATTTTATCTTGATCTCTGTAATGCTTTTTTTTTTTTTTTGGAGACAGAGTCTCACTGTGTCACCCTTGGTAGAGTGCCGTGGTATCACAACTCACAGCAACCTCCAACTCTTGAGCTTAAGCCATTGTTTTGCCTCAGCCTCCCAAGTAGCTGGGACTATAGGCGCCCACCACAATGCCTAGCTTTTTTTTTTTTTTTTAGAGATGGTTTTTACCAGTCCGGGTTTGAACCCACCACCTCCGGTATATGGAGCCAGTGCCCTACTCTTTGTGCTACAGGTGCCGCCCCCCAGCTATTTTTTTTATTGCAGTTATCATTGTTGTTTGGCAGGCCCAGGCCAAGTTCAAACCCGCCAGTCTGGGTGTATGTGGCTGGTGCCATAACCACTGTGCTACGGGCGCCAAGCTGATCTCTGTAATTCTTAATCATAAGCAGATTTTTCTCTTATTTGGAATTAACTTTGACAGTTCCTTCCCACCTTTCTTATCTAATGAGTCATTAGGTTACACCAGTTCTATCTTCTTTATTCCTCTCCAGTATGTCTTCTTCTATCTACCACTACATCGGAGCAGGCTGTCATCATTTCTTGTCTAAATTACTAGATTACCTACTGATTGATCTCCCTGACTTCAATTCAGCTCCTCTCCCCTCTCCAATGCAGCCCCTCCATATTGCCATCAGGTAATCTTCCTCAAAGAGTAATAAGACCATGCCACTTCCTTGGCTTTAAATCCTTCAGTGGCTCCTCACTGAAATTCAGTTATAATAAAGCTTACCATGGAGTTGTTAGGAAGATTAAGTAAAACTCAATAAAAGCCTCTAGTTGATGCCTGGCTCAGAACAGGACCCAATATATGCTAACGCCACCCCTGCCCAAGTCAAGGGGATAGTGGCTTTGCTGGGAAGCCAGGAGCCAAGAATCTCACCAAACTCAGCAGCCATGCCCTCCTGAATCCCTTTGAGGTTAGGCACAAGAATAGATTGGTTTAGCATCTGTCTGTGCATTTTCCATAAAGAAAGATTTCTCTTGATCAACTATGCAAGCCAAGCCCATCTGTGACTAAGCTTTAATAACCTTAGAGTAAGACAGCCATCACTATAAATGCAATCAGTCTCTGCCTTTCTGCTTTCTTGCTTTGTTTTCTCTTCAAATTCTTAGTAAAGTTTCTTTTTACAGGCTTTAACTTTTTCTTAAATGAACCAAAGGGAAGAGAAAGAGAGAGACCTAGTTGTTTGTACTTTGTTAAATCAGAGCATTCTGAGCGTCCAGGCATGCCAGTGGGGCAGGGAAGCCTCAGTGGGTGTGGGCAGTCTGGTGATCTGGTTAGTCAAAGGGATGAGACTGGTATTGGACCCAGCTGGGCGTGCTGCTCTCGTCCTGCCTCTCTACTCCCAGACACGTGCTTGGTCCCTTCACTGACAGTCTTCAGACAATGGGAGTTTAGCAAAATCTGGTATTGAGAAAACCACAGAACAGAGCAGAATAGGATTAATACTGCAAAAAGGATGATATGAATTAATTTCATGGTGTTTCCAATTTTTAAATTCAGCTTATTACTTTCCTTAGCCTTTCTCTATGAAAGAACTGTAAAGCTCTTACTGAACATGTTATTTCCAGGCTTCCAGGTGGTTTTGTTACCATATAGAATATCTCAAATACAAGAAAAAGCAAATATAGCAAAGAGAATTATTTTCTATTTAAAAGGAATGTCTGTCAGCAGTGGCATTTTTAAATAGATATGTATACGTATGTATGTAGTTCTTTTAAGTTTAAAGATCAGGTTATCTGACAATGCAATAAACATAAATCCAAGCAACTATGTCTTGCTTAACTTTAAAAATGTCTTAATTTTTCTATATGGTAGCAAAATAGAGCTTTATGGTAATTTAATTGTAATTTTGATCCAACAGATGTGAAGAAAATAAAACATTTTAATGGAAAATAAAGTATGTAATTAAAGTATAATTAATAACTTTTGTTAAAAATATTTTAAAAAATATTTGACAATGTGAATGTTACTTTCTTCGCATTACTATTATTATTGCTTAATAAAAAAAATTTTTTTAAATAACTGTTGTTTCTGTTTGGTAAGGTAATTTGTTAGAGGCAGGAGGCCAAGATGGATAAGATATAGTGTTTTACTAAATGACTTTATTATGTTGATTTCATTTGACTTTATCAAATCTTACCTCATTTCATTACAGGCATTTTCTATCCGCGAATCAGAACAATGTCCTACGTTTTTGTAAATGATTCTTCTCAGACTAATGTGCCCTTGCTACAAGCCTGTATTGATGGAGACTTTAACTATTCCAAGCGGCTTTTAGAAAGTGGCTTTGACCCAAATATTCGTGACAGCAGGGGCAGAACAGGCCTACACCTGGCAGCAGCTCGCGGGAATGTAGACATCTGCCAGTTACTGCATAAATTTGGTGCTGATCTTCTGGCCACAGATTATCAAGGAAACACAGCTCTTCACCTTTGTGGCCATGTGGATACCATTCAATTCTTAGTTTCTAATGGACTAAAAATTGACATTTGGTGAGTTCTCCGTGGTTGTTGAAGTCTAGTCATTTCTTCCCATTAGTCTGTCAACCTGCACTCTAATCTCAGAGTCTGCTGATTCTCTTTACTCATTGATCAGTTGTAATGACAAGTTCAGAAAGGCATCCAAGATAGTGTTATCTTGTTGAGTGGGTGAGGGAAGAAAGAAGGGAACGACTTACATGTTTTTACTGAATCAGTGTAATTTTACCTATGAAAATAGTGCCCAGCTTCTACTATTAATTGATTGTATAGTATAAGATGGGGGGGGGTGAGAAGAAAGAAAGTAACAATTGGTGGAAATCTGTGAGCTAGACTGTGTTTACTTATGTTAACTTGTGAAATCCTCAGAGTGAATAACCTCACAGTAGGTGTTATCTTCACTTCACAGATGAGATAATTGAGACAAAAAGGATTAAATCATTTGAGAAAGGTCACAAGGTTTAGAAGGGACAGAACTGGAATTTGAACCTAGTTCTGCTGATTCCAGAGCTCATGTGCTTTGTGTCACATAATATATTGTGCTAATTTCACGATCTCTCTGGGGTCCGGAGTCCTTTTTTAGATTCAATCATCTGAGGAAGTCAAGGGTTTTTTTCTTTGTTTTAGTGTCTTATTTCTTGTTTGGGAAAGATGGCAAGACTACTAAGCTGGACCTTTAAATTACAGTTACATGCTACCCTAATTTATTGGTATCATAATGCCCTGAATCTGAATAAGATAGCAAATGGTTCTATCAATGGGATCTGAATTAACTGCAGGATTTAAGGTGATTCTGGTTCTCTCCTGTTGTTAGTCCTAAGTAGCTAAGTGAACTTCAAAGGAACTTAGTTCACTCCTTTTTTTAAGAAAATTCTTAAAATTCTTCTATGTATACTCCTCCCATAAAATGAAATGTCAGATAAGGTGAGTCTACAACTAGACTTCCCAATTAATCTGTGAGAAGATGGTCTCTCTGTCTTTCCCTTTTTCCGCTCTTTTGCCTATATATATTGTCTTTTGCCTTTTCCCTGGAAGGAAAAGAAATTGGTTAATTGAAAATTCAACTTCTACCTTGACCTTCGGCTGTGCCCTGGGTTTTAGTTTTGAGTCAATTTGGCTCATCTTTTCTTCACTGATATCTGCACAAGTGAGTACTGACAATGTAACTACCCATGTAGTATAACTGCTATAATGATGTCTTTATTTTTTGAACATTTTTAGCAATCATCAAGGTGCTACTCCCTTAGTTCTAGCAAAACGCAGGGGAGTGAATAAAGATGTTATCCGATTGCTGGAATCTTTGGAAGAACAGGAGGTAAAAGGATTTAACAGAGGAACCCATTCGAAACTGGAGACCATGCAGACAGCTGAGAGTGAAAGGTACTTGAGATATGTATTGTTTATCATTTATTATGTATGTGTTTATTAATTAGAGACAGAATCTCACTATGTTACCCAGGCTGGCCTTGACTCCTGGGCTAAAGCAGTCCTGCGTGACCTTTCTCAGCACCTAGGACTACAGGCATAAACCAAGCAAGATAAAATTTTTTAAGGGGCAAGTCACTTAAGTACCTGGATCTTTTTTTGGTGACTTTACATTCATTTGATTTCAGGTGCAGAGTTTTGATACTTTTCTGGAACTTTATATAGGCCCTTATGGCTTCAGTTTATAATTGAGAAGCTGTAAATAGAAATTATGTGCCCACATGCACGTAATGTTCTACTAGCTACCTGTTGTATCGACAGCACAAGGGAAAAGAATAGTAAGAGCTGAATCTGAGAGAAGAAAGCAAAAGTCTGAGGGTGTTAAATACAAGTCACAAAAAAATGGAATTTCAAAAAAAGATACGAAACATAAGCAAGCCAGAGAAGTTGGACAGTGTTAGAAATGACCAGAAAGGAGTTCCAATGGTAGGAAAGTGAAGTGCTGAGAGGTGGTAACACAGGAGAGGGAAAGTAAGACAAGACTTAACACATACTCAGTGTGGGAATGTGAAAGTGACAAGATTTACACACACACAAGTCAGAAGTGTGAAAGTGACTTGTAGACGAATTTGGACTAGGGAAATTTGGGCACCTGTGATAGAAGCTAAGATGTGGTGATTGACAGGGTCTTAAATATCTCATCATCTTTCCTCTAGAAGCTGTGGAGAGCACAATTAGAGAGCTGTGAAAAGGTGGCAGCTCATCTTTTCTCCTGGCCCCACTGGCTCAGCAGGTGGTCAGTAGACCAGACTTAGTTGTAGCGGTGCAGAGCTTAGTTGACCACCATGGATTTTCAGCCTTCCAGATTAAACAAGTGTAGTAAGAAGAATGAGGGGCTGACTGTAGTCTTTTTGCGAAATTTTTAGTAGATGGGCAGTGCCTCAAAGGAGTAGGGTGCCAGCCCCATGTGCCATAGGTGGCAGGTTCAAACCCAGCTCCAGCCAAAAACTGCAAAAAAAAAAAAAGGTAGAATATCAATAGAACAAAAAGGGGCCCACATCAGCATTAGCATTAGCTGTTGACTTAAAAGCTAATTGACCACAACTTGGATTTAGGCTCGCATAGACCATATATGCCATCAGGACTGAGGTCATTGCTTGTGTGAGATCTAAATGAAATCCTCTCTAGTCTTCATAGCTCATCCTTCATGTGCTTCCTCCGTGCTTCTTGCTTTCCTCTTCCCTTTGTGTGCTGGTTCTTCCACTTCTTGGGAACCATTAATTCCATTCCCAAGTTTAGGTCTATTTTGTTTAGATACTTTCAAGCACTTACTACTGTCCTAAAGAAATCTAAGAGTTTTGCTTCTAAAATCGTGTATGCTTTTTATGAGTTATTGTAAAAGCTGACCAATAGATAAAATTCACAAGTTGTCAAAGATGCATTTGCAAGCCCTTTCACTCTCTCCTGTATACTCTGGATGGACAGAATCCCAAAGCACTTTAATAATACTGAATTAACTATTATTTGTTAAAGATCCTGTTCCTCCAAAACATGGTGTTTTGAGGGGAGCATGTTGTATTTTGGGAAACTTCATTTCGCTAACAGCCAGTTTCTTGCAACTTCTTTATCAGAAATGTACTTTTCACATGAGTTTGCCTCAGTTGTGATTACTTATTAGCTAAGCAGTGATTAGTCATTCGAGCAGCTCAGTACAAAACACTCCTACTTCTTTCAAATACCTGCCATTTCACTTCAGCTTGAGAGTTTATATGATAGTGTATAAAACCAGTTTGTCAAAAATTAAATTATTGATACTTTATTCCTGGCCTTCAGTGTCATGATAGGAATGCAGTGGTTGAAGCCTAAGTTTAAAAATTTAAAGGCCTGAGTGGTGGCTCAGTGAGTAGGGCACCGGCCCCGTATACCGAAGGTGGCAGGTTTGAACCCGACCCCAGCCAAACTGCAACATATAAAAAATGAAAAAAAATAAAAGTTTAAAGGCCATATCATTAGGAAAATGCAAATCAGAACCACAGTGAAATATCAGTTCACACCTACTAGGATTATTGTAATGTGCTATGTAAATTATATCTCAATTTTTGAAAGTAGAGGCAAAAGTTTGAAGAGATTAGCTAGCATGCGGCATTATGGCTTAGCTGTGTAACACCCTTTTTTCTAAAGCAGAAGATAGTACAGTAACATTTTCAATGTATTTACTCCAGTATTTTCCACTTCCCTTAGGATTCCCTGTGGCATGGTACCACTTCTATCAGCCTTTCTAGGGCCTATACATCAAGTTGATGAAATATTTCTACACTCCATCAGAGTGTGCAGGTTTAATTTAGTTCCTTTTTTTATTTGAGAGCTTTGTCATTTGTGGAATGACAAAGACTGTAAAAATGACACAGGTTTTTTAAAAAGGCTGTATACACATGTATACACACAAACACACCCCCATTATGTTGGAGTCAGTTATTCCCTGGACAGTAGAAAGCATTTAATTGAATAAAATTTCTATAGAAAACTCCAATTGGCAGAACTTCATGGGCTCTTAGAGAATACTTGCAGAGTTCTCATTTTATGCCAGCATCTCTGAGTGAGAGCGTGTCCCTTTCTCCTAGTTCATGCTGAATGAGACTAAGACATTGTTTTATGCTGTTTCCATAGTTCTGAGCCACGATGTTTGGAAGAATCATAAAGGGAAGGGACATGGGAAGGGTGGTCATGACCTTCTATAACCAACAGATAGTTGGTGCGTGTGATTGCAGCCATGGTGACTTTAGTCTGTGAGACTCTGACACTGGGTCTGCGTGCTATCATGTAACGGTGGGTGCTGGTTCCCTAGAACTTCTGCATGCACAAGGCAGATGCAGTGTCCTGGTTTCTCTTTATGAGGCTCCTGTTTCTCACTTATGTAGTTCTGAAAACCAGAATCAGTGTCTTTGTGGTATTTGTACTACCGTATTTTCAACTAGACTCAACCATTATGCAGAAACAAAATAAACTTATTCTGTGTTATTGTACAAGATAGAACTAAGACAACTTATGCTGTGTTATTGTACAAGATAGAACTAAAACCAGTAGGAAGAAACTATTAAGAATTCCTAGTGATTAGACCAGTCTCCGTGTACAACAGACTTACATTCTGAGAGGAGTACACTGTTAAAGAGGGGTTTCTTCACTGGTGAGATTAGTGAACTAAATTCATAAAAATTCCCTTTTAGGGTGGCGCCTGTGGCTCAGAGGAGTAGGGCACTGGCCCCATATACCAGAGGTGATGGGTTCAAACCTAGCCTGGGCCAAAAACTGCAAAAAAAAAAAAAAAAAATTCCCTTTTAACTGAAGCCACTGGGCCTGGCCATTAATAGCATTTCTAACTGGACTCTGTTAGATACTCAGCCAAGAAACAGACTCATTATGGTCTAGCAGTTTTCAGCCTCAGGTGTAGATTGTCCAGATACCTGTGGATATATAAATCAGTATGTAAGCATGTAAGAGTGTACATATGTGTCTGTTTTTTCTTGTAAGTGTTGTGTTATATGTTTGGTCTTTTCAAAATAACATAGTACCTATTGTTTTATGTTTGTTTGTTTTTTGCCGGGGCTGGGTTTGAACCCGCCACCTCCGGCATATGGGGCTGGCACCCTACTCCTTGAGCCACAGGCGCCACCCTGTTTTATGGTTTTGAAATGGGTGAAGTATTTGTTTCATGCCCTTTCTTTTTCCTTCTTGCACAGTGCCATGGAAAGCCACTCTCTCCTCAATCCCAACCTACAGCAAGGCGAAGGAGTCCTTTCCAGCTTTCGAACCACATGGCAGGAGTTCGTAGAGGATCTGGGCTTCTGGAGGGTCTTGCTCTTGATCTTCGTCATCGCTTTGCTGTCTCTTGGCATTGCCTACTATGTGAGTGGGGTGCTGCCCTTTGTGGAAAACCAGCCTGAACTGGTGCATTAAAGGGGCTTGTGGAAGATGAGGCAAATGCTCTTTCCTGGCTTTGTATTTGTTCTCAGCTTCCCAAAATTCTTCTTAGTGCAAGGCAGTGAGGGCTGTACATTTTCCCTTTTGCATTTTTACTTATCATAATCCTTTTACATAATGACATGTTCATTTGAACTAACTACACACTACAGTATAATCAAGTAAACTGCATCCTAACGCTACCTCTGACTCAACCTGACTTCTTAGGAAAACCTATACCGAACCTTGTTTGACAAAAGAAATGGAAATGATTAGAAAATGGGGGATAAAGGAGGGGGCTAGGAAGTCCTTGCTCTCAAAACCGTACTCTAATATAGGACCGACTGAAGCATTAAAAAAATATATTTCATACATGACTAAATTTTTTGGTGGTTTTATTTTTATTTTTGCAAGAGCCCCTCTTTTTTTTTTTTAATTTGCTTTCTCTAGGGATAGGAGAAAAGTTTAAAACTTGAAGTACATTTTTCAAATCTTATATAGCCAATTAGTATTGTTAGAATCTGTTTGGTTTATTTTAATATTTTTAAGTCTAGTTATAAACCAAACAAAAGTTTTGAAAATGAGCTATATTTTCTTCAAAATGATTGATGATTTGATCTTATATTTATTTGTTGTTTGGATAATTTTTTTGTAAACTGCATTGCTTGTTAATATAGTGAAAAAGAAACTTGAGGAATGTATTTTGTTCACTTTTCAATTTCCCCTGCTGTTTATTTTAAAGGTATTTTATTCACCAAAATTATGCTCAGAAAACACTTTTTTCTACTGAATAGTTAGCAGGAAAAATAATTCTGATATTTAATTGTCACAATTCTGTAGTGCTATCATTGTGTTGAAAAATACAGTTCTATAAGCTAGCTGTGTTGTCACAGTTGTATCATGATTCATGACTATTTGACGTGCAATCCTGTTTAGAAGCCCTGTTAGACTTTTCTTAACAGTCCCATCCATATCAGTAATTCTCTGAAGGCAAGAACGGATGGAATATTTCTGAGTTAACAGAGCTGAACAATATTGTACTGGGTATCATAAACTCTTTATGAATGGTAATTTTATGTAAATTGAAATCTGGCTTCTGAACTATATTGCAGCTTTCAGCAGGATGTTTGAAAGCCTCTTTTGTTAATGATTCTGTAATGTATAAATCATATTCTTGGGTTATTAAAAAAGACTATGAAAGCTTGATAATTATTTATTAGGTAAAGTCAGAAAATTGTAGAGAAAGAACTAATGGTTTTATTTTTTAGAACAAAGGCATCAAGCTACTGCAAATTGAATTGTTGCTAGAATTATAAATTATAGTTTAGAATAGAATTGGTATTTCTGTGATTCTTTTTCCTTCTTGATGTTTTCTCTTCTGTATTTATATATCTAGTGTTGAGGCTTTTTCTTTCATGTGGCTTTATCCTCTCTTAAAGAGCTGTTGTAAAACTGCCTAGTACCTGGCTGCTTCCATATCAGCTTGCAGAGTCTTGCTTTTAAGTTAGATACAAACAAAATAAATCAGACTTGGTGTAAATAGAGCAAAAAAATTAGTTGGCTTTAGAATAGAGAACACTAGAACTCAAATTTGAAGTATCTTCAAAGTGAAAGGTTTGGAATTAGCTTTACATTTGTTTGTAAATCTAAACAGATACAAAATGGGTCTATATGTGTAAATATATTGCATTTTTAAAAATTAATGTTCCTTTGTAAGTGTTGATGTCTTTGTATTCTATTCTCTACATTCATCATTCAGTAATCCCATCAATAAATGTATTTATAAATCCCTTAACCCCAGTTTGTTTCTTAAGTGTATCATAGTTTATCTTTTAATTTGAAGATTTTACAGTGGGCTGCAATTAGCTGTTTAAAAACAAAGTGTCCTTTCAAACATAATATGAAGGGATATTGAGTTTTATATATGCTTCTCTTATAAATGCTCTGACACTGACTTGAGTGAATCGATTGTGGATTTAAGAGTGTTAATACCGACTATGATCTGGCTCCTCCCAGTTATGCAAGTCACTTAGCATGCACGTCTCATTTCATCATTATGCCCTCTTGGGCACTGCATGTCCCGGTTTTATAAGATGAAGAGACTAACACAGAACAGGTTAAGCCACTCATCCAAGGCCAAACAGCCAGGACATGTTGAGTTCCACATTGAGGCTCTATCCTCACTTATAAGCTGGTTCTTTCCTCCAGCCCCACTGTCTGTCACGAACCTGGCAATACAAGCCTGTTTGCCCAGAACCTCACCTGATGCCATCTCAGAGGACATCACTACATTTTCCACTCCTGTTCCTATGTACTTACCTTTTCCTCCTCCGATAATGCACCATTTCTACGTGTCCTCCCAGGGTTATCTTTAACATTCAGACACCAACCCTGGCGCATTCCACAGTTAACCACAGCCGACTGCCCTGTTCTCTACCCTCCATTTCCCACCACTTCCCTTGCTCATTTTCATTGCGGTTATTTTGCATTTCTTGATCTGTTTCTTTGTAAACATGGTTTTTTTTTTTTATTGTTTCTTTAATCATAAACTTCATGATAGCAGGAACTTCATCTATTGTTACAAACTCAACTGTCCACAGAGCACCTGTAGAGTTCTTTGTACACAAATACAGATAGCATTACATTTTTTAATCTGTGCTGTGGGGTTTTTTTCCAAAATAAATAGCTTTTTGCCTTTTACGTGTTCTCCCCAATAAGCTGCATGTGTGGACCATGCTGGTCTGCCTTTCCCCCAGTGTGCCTGCCCCCTGGCAGATTAACAGGACCATGTAGGCTTTCAACCAGTGTCACCTGCCACAGGTTTATCCGTTGGCGTAGAAGTCCAGGAGCAATATTCACTGTAGTTTTGTTTTTGTGTCTTTAAAAGGCAGGCCTCAGTCTTTAACTTCTGAAATTGTGTATGTATCAGAGTGCTTTCAGCTGCAAGAACCAAAATCCAAATTCAAAATAGGAAATGTATTGTTTTCTATAACTGGAATCCTAGTTACATAAAGCCCATTCATATAGAGTTAGGGTAGACCCCAAGGATGACATAATCCAAAATCCTTAGCTCAGTTCCCCTATGCTTTTGGCTATACCCTCCTATTTATTAGAAAACTAGCATGCTGCAGCTTGTTCTGCAATCCCTACAGAATTTTCGGGCATCACATCCGTTTATAACCATGTAGAGAAGAGACTTCTTTCTTGTGACTCCCTCAGAGGAAACTTTGTTGCAAAGCCCCAGGACACTTCTGTTGTTTTCTTGATTAATGTTACATCATGTACCCTGTTCTCAAACCTAGACTAATGCCATACACTGATTAACTTAGACCTGGATGGATGAACCAGTCATTGGTGAAGGTGTGGTAGTGGAATTCATATGTTGGGCTTGGACTAAGCATTTTAGAAATGACTAGGGCCACTACTGGCAATTAGTGGGCAGAGGCCATAGATGCTTTATGTCTCTCAGCACACGGGACAGTTTAGCCTAACAAAGAATTGCTCTACATCCCACATGATTCTTTTTTCTTTTTTCTTTTTTTTTCAGACAGGTCTAGCTCTGTCACCTGGCTAGAATGCAGTCGTGTTACTATAGCTCACTGCAACCTCACATTCTGCCTCAGCCTCCCAAGTAGCTGGGACTACAGGCACACGCCACCATGCCCAACTAATTTTTCTAGTAGAGGCAAGTTCTCACTCTTGTTCAGACTGGTCTCAAACTAAACTCCTGGGCTCAAGCAATCCTCCCATCTTGGCCTTCCAGACTGCTAGAATCACAGACATGAGCCACTGCACATGGCCTCCAACATGATTCTTAAATGTTCTGCCAGACAGTCATGTGCTTAAAAAACAAAATACTAGTTACCTGAGCCTAAAACTCAATTCCATCTTACATTTTAAATCAAGCTATTTGAGGGGTAGTTTTAATGTATCATGAATTTTCTAAGAATGCCGTATAATTATAATAGAAGATTCCACTATATTTTGTTCAAAACTTGATCAAGAATTGTTTGAAAATAATGTTGTTGCTGACAGCAGTGCTGCTGATGATACTGAGGTCGCCAAGATAATTCCATTGTAAGTATTGATGATTCACTGTTTGTTCTAATGGAGTTGTACCCTGAGCATTTACACATCGAAATGCAGGCTTTATTATACATTGCTTTCCCTTTATTTGGGGTTTTTATTACATGGTTTGTGTGAAGTCATATCTGGGACCCATATTACAGTTTATCTTATTCCATCATCTTGCTGTACCTTTTCTGAATAGTTCAGCTTGGAGGGAACAGCAAGAAGTAGTTTTTCCCAAAGTTAATAGAACATTGGGCAGGAATGAAGCAAGTGTCTGGTTAAACAACCCTTTAAAATTGTCCAGGCCAATATAATTCCAGCTGTGTTAGACGAAGTAGAACTTGAGGATCAAGCCCATTCCTTTGTGCTCTGCAATGGATTTGAACAATTTTCTAGAGAAGATACTGGCCTCGCCATGCCTACACATAGGCTGGACTTTGCACAGCACAGCCAGAGGGGTCTCCATCCATCTCTCCACATACCAGGTTGGTGTCAGAAGTCTGGGCTGAAGTCTGGAGTTCCTCGTCACCCAATATTCACTAAAAACTTAGCTAAGAGTTAAGAGTATTGCTTGGAGGATGTTTTAGAGCCACTGTCCAATCGGCTGCTGTTTTGGAAATTTTCTCTCTGTGCTGTCTAATCCAGTAGCCACTTGCCACCTGTGGCTATTTAAATTAATTTAGAAATTCGGTTCTTTCTGACATTAGCCACACTGCCAGTGCTCAGTAGCCACTAGTAGCTATTGTATTAGGCAGTGCAGATATAGAGCCTTTGTGGTTTTTTAGAACAGTGTGGACCACGCTGTGTCAGGTCAGTGTAGAGCTAGGTACTCGACCTGTGTCATGGCAGTGCCCACCCCGATTGCTCCACTGAGCTCGTCATTAGGAACTGGTGACACTGTACAGTGCTTGTTAACTCAATGTTTGCAAATGCTGTTACATCTCCACCTCACGGTTCAAGTTTGAATCACATGCCCAGAGTCACACAGCTAATGAGTGGCAGAGCTGGGATTTGAACTCAGGCAGTGTGAGACGGAGGTCTCAGCTCACCACCAGGCTGTGATGCCATTGTCTTAAAGTGAAAATCATCTCTTGCCCCATGGACCTAATCACTGCATCCATTCCGAGGCAAGTGGAGGATGCTGTTGGAACAATTCTTCATGAGGAGCCCTGAGGAGGAGCTTCTGCTCTTGCTACCACAAACAACTGCATTTCCGCTGAGCAGTGACTTGGCTTTTATTTTATGTTCTCTAGGAATTGTGTCATTCATCAGGTGGAATTCCTCTTTCCCACTGCATGCTGAAAAGCTTAATGCCAGATTTGAGTTCTACCAGAAGCAATTATAACAGAGGTCATTAAACCTCATTCCTGGTTTGTTACATATATATCCTCATCTTTAGTGTTATTTTCCTGTTCTAAATGTTCATTGTTCACAGACGCTATTCTGTATTATTTAAGCCCCCTCAGGTCATCTATGTAGATCATGATGGGGGATGGATAGTTAGGCAGCTATTCGTATGAATTGACAGGACTACCACAAAGCTACTTGTTGATTTCTGAAACATAGCAGCAGAAAATGACCTTCTGCAATCGCAAACAATGACTTTGTTGCCTCCTATTCGAAATGCAATTATGGTTTCTGGCATACGTGAAAATGTCAAGTTTACCCTATTTATATGTCTTTCTTTGTTACAGAAAAGGATTTACGTTCAGCCGAATAAGCAGATACTATTATAAACTGGAAATCATACGTCCTAGGTTGTTCTCTTCTAGCATCCTGATGAATCATTTGAATGAAGCCTGAAAAATGAACATTAACAAGTTACTGTAATCATAGAATTTTAGAGAAGGGGACATTAGAAGTCATCTGGGTGAAGGGATGGGGAGACCAAGAGAGATCGTGTGACTATGGACCCACCATTAGGAAAAGAGCAGGACTGGTGTTTGAATCCAGACATAGTCCTTAACTCCTCTTCCTTGTTGCCCCTGACTCACACTTCATTGCCTCTCACCCCAATGTGCTATTCTAAATCTTATTTTAAAATACAGGTGTCTGGTGCTAGATACGTAACAATACACCTCCTTGCCATTGTGTTCTTTGTACTTTAATAGCCAAACAAAACATGGACTGCCTTTTTCAAGCTCGTAGCATCATAAGCCAAGGACGTTTATCTTTTTTTGTTTTTTTTAAAGAGGCAAAATCTCACTCTGTCACCCATGCTGGGGTGCAATGGAATGATCATAGCTCACTGCAGCTTCCAACACCTGGGCTCATGTGAAGCTCCACATCAGCCTCCCGAGTAGCTGGGACTACCGGCACATACCACCGTGCCCAGCTAATCTTTTTTATTTTTTGTAGAGATGGGGTCTTACTATGTTGTCCAGGCTGGTCTCAAACTTCTGGCCCCAAGCAATCCTCCCTCTTCTGCCTCCCAAAGTGCTAGGATTACAGGCATGAGAGTGCCCAGCAATCTTTTGATAAAACAATTTGTCTGGAGAAATTTTCCACTTCTGAAAACAAAATTCATAATCAAATAATGCACTCTCTCTGTAAATCACCTTACACCGTGGAAATGCTTTGAGGAAGCTAAGCGGAAGGCTCCAGAGTTTCTGCAGCAGTCATGATGTTAACACATTTTTCCCTAGTTAGTCATAGTACTTTTCTTATTATAAGAGCAATTATTTCTTCAAGCTCATTGTCTGCTGCATACTTTTGATTCTAGTT